GTTGAACACCTACTCTGTATTGGATTGTACAGCCAGCTTTCATGGAATGTTTCTTTCTAGACCCAGAAATAGATAAAGCACTATAGGGCCTCAGGACATGGACCCAAATCTAGCCATGCCTCTTTTCAGAAGTCAAGGGCAGAAATAATCTCCTGACCAATGCCTCAGGCCCAGGGGTTTAATCCCCAAGAAAACCATTCTGTTTCTACCTGGGTAGTCCTAATTATCTAAATTCTTCCCACTTGTTTTCCCAACACACCAGTGATGGTACTCATCATTATCATTCAGATTCAACCGTTATTTTTCTTGTTTCTTCTTCTATTCTCTGTTTTTTCTTGTTTCTTCTTCAGTTAGATTGTGATTTCCACAAAGAAGAAAACTTTGCTAAGAGTTTCTGTACCTAGGATAATGTGAGGCATATAATTAAAAATCAACAAATAGCTTTAATTAATTGAAAGCCAAGTGTCAACATTTTTTAGTTTTTGGTGTCTTAAATCTCATTCATTTAATCAATTTATTCATAAACCACTTCCTAGAGAAAGAATTCACTCTTAAAGTCAAAGAAAAATCAGCTGAGGGATATCCAGCTGTTATTACTACAGAGTTTTACTTTTAAAAATTTATACAAATTTTAGTCACATTAAACTTTAACTATTCGTTCTCTACGTTGTAATATGACCTTTGAAGTTATTCAATGGAAGTGAACTTTGTAGCTTAGAGAATCAGGCAGAACATGGTGAGTGTCTAATGTCATTGGCTTTGGCTATATGAAATATTGGCAGTAGCTTTAGGAAGCTAAAATATTTTTGATTCATAACCCAATTCATTGATAACCATTTTTACTAATATTTACTTATACATGATTGGTTACATACTTTTGTCACTGGTCAACTTGTGAATTTGGGCAAAATATTCCATTTGATTTAAACGTCTTTGCTGTCAACAGAGAAAATTTACTTGGATAATTACTAAATGTCCCATACAGATATTCTTGCACAGATAAGTTGTGATCTAAGTCAATGTCTTTTCAGGGGAACTCTCCAAACTTTTTTCCTCCTTCATTTCAAAATACTGTGATCAGTGTGGTTCAGAGGCCTGCATGCCTTGTTCCGCTTGGCTTCCACGACTGACTGTGTGACCACACAAAAGTTATTTTACTTTCCAGACTTCATGGGGGGTATGCTAAGGATTGAGTGAATTTATGCAGGTAAAAACTTAAAACTATGCCTTACACATTCTAAGTACTCAGGAAGTGTTAGCTATTTTTATACTGAGGCAATTTCTCCATGAACATTCTATCACCAACTTTTTCAGTTTTGTTGATGAAAGCATTTCTGTTTTGCTTTTCTGTTTGTTTGCTATTCACAAAAGAGAACATTTATTGTAAAATCACTGATGGGATAAATTTAGGAGCTAGACAATATTTAGCACATAGTATTGGTTTAATTCCATTTTTAAATATTTTCCAAAAGACACATGTAGAAATAAAACAAGCAAACAGCATCAAAAGTGTAGGATAGCTTTTTTTTTTTTATAAAGGCAAGTTATTGCTTTCCTGTAGTACAGAGTCAGAGAAGTTCTTGAAGAAGAAGAAAAATCAAATGACTGCTATACAGGAAATGATGTCCAGGAATGCGCTCGAAGCATAAACCATCTGTATGGCACCCGGGTCTCTGGGCCTGATCCTCTATGCTGCCATTTCATAACCTGATATTCTTTTAATGGCTGCATCTTTGGCAGGATGTAGAGTCAATGTCCAAACCCAGAGAACAAATGCTGAACAACTAAATGTAGATTAAGGTTAAGTCAAAATATACTTTCAGTATAGATCAATCTTGCCAAAACAAAACCCCCTCTATTTCTTATCCATAGGGAGATTTTTACCTTATTTGAATAATTGCATCAATCTCCAAATCTCCTAAATGAGGATCTCAGCAGTAATCAATACATCACAAAGATACAGGCATCTTGATATTTGGTACTTCTTGAAATGAAGATTGATGCTATTTTGAGGGGCTGATCTATGACAGAAGTGCACTTAGGGCTTTCTCTCTCTGTCTCTCTTTCTCTCTCTCACACACACACAAACACACACACACACACACACACACACACACACACACACACACTTACTTTTTGTTTTATTACAACAGAATAAATTACCCATTTGAGTGTATTTTTCTTACCCCAACTCTGGCACTGTAGTTCCCTAAAGAAGAAAAAAACACATCGCTTTTGAATTTATCCTGTGGTCAGTGATTATAGGGTAGAAGGTGTCAAATCCTAATAGGTTGGATAGATTTATAAAAGACTTCTGATACAAGTTAGTAACCCCTGACTAAATTTTATACATGAATAATTGAGGTAAATGAGAACCAGAAATGCCATTTCCCTAATTTGTTTTAGGCTATCTACAAACAGTAGAACGAGACAGTCGAACTTTTTTTTATTTTATTTTTATTTTTATTTTAAAGATGTGGGGTACAATTCAAGGTTAGGTATATAAATGTTCATTATGCAAGTACCCTTGTTGATGAGGTATGCCCCTCTCCCCCAGCAGATTCCCACTACTGTCAATTCCACTCCCCACCCCCAGCAGTTTCCCACTACTGCCAATCCTTTTCTTATTATAGTATTATGATAATTGTTCAAGGTCCGCTTATGAGAGAGAACATGTGATACTCAGTTCTTTGTTTCTGGGACAGATCACTCAGTATTATAGACTCTAAGTCCATCCAAGTTGCTGTAAAGTTCATAATTTTGTCCTTCGTTATGACTGTGTAATATTCCTTTATGTATATATACCACATTTTTTTTTTTTTTTTTTTTTTTTTTTTTTTT